CAATGAGATTTTTCAGGGTACAATTGATGAAATATACATACTAATTTACAGGCATGTTTTTTGTGAACCCGATCATTGTGTGAGAAGGGGAAGTGTTTCCAAGCCACCAGGTACTGAGTGGCCCCTTGGAATTTCCTAGAGTCAAGAATTTCCTGAACCTCAAAATGTTCTTCACCCTCTACCATAATAGGGGGCGGAACAGGGGAAGTAGCCGGACAAACCCTTTTCCTTCCGAAGAAATTTGAGTATGATTATTTTGAAAGTGTAAATGTGTGTTTACACAAGTAGGGGGGTTCACATAGGATCAAGCAATCTACAGATTTGATTCCTAAAAGCTTCTCTGAATTATTTAGGGGCAGGATTGTAGCACATCTCTGCAACTCTTTAAAGCAGCTACGTCCTTTCTGAGATCGGTGGTTGCTCTCTGTATTCCCGGGTATGAAGGTCACATTTCACACCTTCAAGCTTGGAGATGAAATTTTGACCTTGGAGGAAGCAGCTCCACCTAAATTTGACCTTCACTGCCCATCCCTGCAGTTGGCATATCCTGAGTGTAGCAGTTCATGAATCTGGAAAAAAAATCTTAAAATGTGCATCTTGGAAATAGGGCAAGTCATACTCATAACTTGCAAACATGGAGGGGAAAAAAACATTTTTTTTATTTTTTAGATGGGAGGGAGAACATTGAATCATTGCAGTTTTTCTAGAGCAAAAAGTCTGTAGTCCTCCATGTCATGGTTGTCCCAAAGGTGCTTTTTCAGGAGGCAAATGGACTTTCTTGTTTTTTCTTTGAAGACGTTTCACTTCTCATCCAGGAAGCTTCTTCAGCTCTGACAGGATAGTGGGGAAATGGAAGGGTTTATATTCCTTGCAGACAGCTGGTCATTTGCATCCTTTTAGGGGGTCGTTGAAGCACTTGGAGGTTTATCTGTGTCCTCAGGGTCACCTGAGTGGTGCTCCTGTAGTCTACAATTTTTCTCTGGAAATCCAGAGAATTTCGAGAGCAGTGTTTCCCAACCTTGGCAGATGAAGATGTTATTGTTGTTAGTTGGGAAGTCATGTCCGTCCCATCACGATCCCATGGACAACATTCCTCCAGGCCTTCCTATCCTCTACCATCCTCTGGAGTCCATTTCAGCTCAAGATAAAATTGGATGGACCTCAACTCCAAGAATTCCCTAGCTAGCCATGCTGGTGGGGAATTCTGGGAGTTGAAGTCCACTCATCTTAAAGTGTTGGGGTACACTGATCTAGAAGTCTACTAGCATGTCAAGGTGACTTTTCTCCAGATCTGCGCTTGGGTTTCCTTAGAGTGGGTCAGAAAATTCAAGATGGTGGTGGCAGTGATGTGGTTTAAGCCATGCCCCATATACAGAGGGCAAGGCCTTGGGCACACTGTCACGGTCATTGTCTTGACCTTTTTTGACCCCTGTCCTCTGCTAATTCTGCTGTGTTTCTGCTCGAAAATTTAGGACTGCAATCTCTCTGTGATTAAAACTTAATGTGCGAGATGAATTTCCCTTGTGCAGTTTGTAAGTTAAGAATATGACTTTCTCTCCATCAGCGTAGTGAAGTTTTTGTAGTTAAGCAGGTCAGATTTTCTTGGAAGTCTTTAGGCTTAAATGAATCTCGTTGGTATTTTTTGGGCTTCAACTTCCCGTTAAATCTGGTTTATCAAACGACTGCATAGACGTTTGATGTTAGATGTTCAGATTCTTTTTTGAGATCAATCAGGATTATGTGAAAATAAATGGCTGCTTAATGATCACTGGTGAAACCCCCCTTAGACATGAGTTTGGTCTAGAAGTTTCTGTGAGGTGAGGAAAACCACTCATTGAATTCTGAGATTAGTGTACCGACTCTGTTTCCTAATAGCTATGAATTGATCCAACACAACAAATCAGTTCTGGGTTTTATTGTTCACTTTGATAAACTAAATTATATTTTGTTGGCCCAGTGATGTTTAAAAATCTGGGAAATTATCTTGCTCCAAATTAACCCAGCAACAAAATTTTCGGGGGAAAAACAAAGCCTTTTGAGTAAAGGACAAATATTTGATCAATATTTATTAGACAAGTTAATAAATGTTAGTGGTCTGTCAAATCAGCCAATGGATGGAGGAGTCAGAGGGAGGTGAGAACGAGAGCAGTGGATAGTGTCCTCCTGTCTACCCTTGTGCCACACAACTGACAGGTTTCTGGGAAGCGTCATTGGAAGGTGCAGTGATGCTGATGTGGTCACAGTTTCTCCAAATTTCACTCCCACGGGAGTCATGGGTTCTGGCATTATGTAAGTTAATCCATTTGAATTACCTTGGTTCAATCCATTGTTGCTCTAGTCCCATGATGGCAAACCTATGGTGGCACGTGGAGCCATATCAGTGGGCACGCGAGCGTTGTCCTAGCTCAGCTCCGGCGCGTGCATCTGATTTTTCTTCCGGGCCCACTGGAAGTTGGCAAACAGGACGTTTCCAGCCTCCGGAGGGCCTCTGGGGGGGTGGGGAAGGCCCATCTTCGCCCTCCCCAGGCTCCTAGAAAGCCTCTGGAGCCCGGGGAGGGCGAAAAACGGGACTTGCAGTCCCACTGGAAGTCGGCAAACAGGCCATTTCTGACCTCCAGAGGCTTTCTTGGACCTGGGGAGGGCGAAAAACGGGCCTATCAGGCCCATCATGCCATCACGTGCCAAAAGCACGGGGAGCGCGGTGGTGGGTCGCTCGTGCATGCGTTGAGGGGCGGGGCACATTGAATTATGGGTATGGGCACACACGCACACAACCCCCCCCCCCGTTCTCTCCGCTTTTGGCACGTGACAGCAAAAAGGTTGGTCATCGCTGCTCTAGTCTATACCCTCCAATTTCACCCAGTTGGATGTTACAAATAGACCAGAGAGTTTTAATAATATATAGATAGAAGAGTTTTTTAGTGGTATATACCCGTATTTTTCGGAGTTATAAGACACACTTTTTCCCCCCTAAAAAAGGATGAAAATTTAGGTGCGTCTTACACGCCAAATGTAGCCAAAAACACAAGGCGTGGAGGAGGTGATGGTCTGTGGCAATCCCTGCAGCCTGGAACGCTGATTGGCAGTATTCCGGGAGGCTGATCTACCCACCAATCAGCTGCTTGTGCTGAATCAGGCTGCAATAATGTGCTGAAGCTGACCTGGCTGTTTGCTATTTGCTGCAAGGACTGTCAGAGTTTGCAGCAGCAATCACATCCAGAAAGCACACACAAGTAACTGATTCAGCAGGATTCAGTAACTTCTCTTTATATATAATATAACACATGAAGTAAATATACAATACCAAAAGCAGGTTTTCCAACGTGGTAGTAAATACAAGCAGAACACAAGCAGAGGAGAGGAATTTCAATTACAGTTTAGAACAGTTGAGCTAAGCCACGCCCAGGCTCCTTGCTGTCTCCTTCCTTGTTGCTCACACAGCAAATACTGTTTCAGTTTCCAAACAGCCCTCAACTCTCTCACACAGTGACAGGACGCTAGTCAGATGAATACCGATGGATGCTGGTAGGCAGAGGCAGAATTTTTTTTTCTTATTTTCCTTCCCAAAAACTGAGATGCGTCTCATACTCTGGAGCGTCTTATACTCCGAAAAATACAGTAGATAGATTCCAACAGAAGAAAATATTTGTAGGCCGTGGTTGAATTGTGAAATCCTTGGTGCTGTCTGTGTTCGGTTGTTTCCTGACCCAACTCAATATCAACAGTGGATGGGATGATGATGATGATGGAGAGCACATCAGTAAGTTCTCGACTTACAACAGTTCATTTAGTGAAAGTTCAAAGATACAACGGCCCTGAAAAATGTGACTTACAATCGTTCTTCACAGTTATGACCTTTGCAGCATCCCCATAATCATGTGATCAAAATTTAGATGCTTGGCAACTGGTTCATACTTATGACCGCTGCTGTGTCCCAAGATCACGTGATCCCCTTTTGCGACCTTCTGACAAAGGAAAAACAACGGGAAAGCCAGATTCACTTAACAACCAGATTACTCACTTATTAACTGCAGTGATCCATTTAACAACAGCGGCAAGAAAGGTTGTAAAATGGGGCAAAACTCACTTAACAACAGAAACGTTGGGCTCAGTTGTGGTCATAAGTCGAGGACTACTTGTAGTGTTTCCTAATTGGGTCATGAGACACCAGCAAGAAGGCAGCCAAGCTCAGAAAGCACCAAGTTATTATTTAATAGATGCCTCATACCAAATGACAACTAAGAGCTATCAGCATGGTCCTTGAAGTAATATTTCAAAATATCTTAAAAGGTTAGTTATTAATTAAAAGTGACGGAAAGGGCTGAGAGCATCAACTGGTGTTGATTAGAAAGGCTGGCACCAGAAAAGCCATTAGGGAGAATAAAACAAACTTTAATCCTGTGGACTAGCAGCTTTTTACCTGTGGATGAAAGGATGGGATTAACAAGAGAATGCTAATAAGTGAGACACTTTTCAGTTTGCTCTTTTTGGGGATCAGATCCAGATGGGAATCCCTTTGGGCCAGAGGTTGGTAGTCTTCCGTTGACCCCTTTCTCATTCCCGTTTGCATCAGCTCACAAAAAAATCTCGTGTATCTGAGTAACAAGCCGCAAATTGGAAGAGCCTGTAGTACAGTGGACTAAAGCACACTGTTATTAACATCTGCTGCTTGCAATTACTGCAAGTTCAAATCTCACCAGGCTCAAGGTTGACTCAGCCTTCTATCCTTTCAAAGGTAGGTGAAATGAGGACCCAGATTGTGGGGGCAATAAGCTGACTTTGTATAAATATACAAAAGTATGAAGGCTATTGCTTAACGCATTGTAAGCCGCGCTGAGTCTCTGGAGAAGGGCGGCATATAAATTAAAGCAAAAAAAAAATCAAAAAAAAATAAAAAAAATTGTGGATTCTTGAAAATTCTCTTGTAGTGACTTCACAATAGATAGAACCATGCACATTGCTTATTAAAGATATGTATTTTTTCTTTCTCTCTCTTTCAGAAGAAAATGAAAAACATGAAAAACTCTGCCAGGAGCGTGAACAGGAACAGAAGAAGGCCAGCGTGCAAAGGGTTAACCACGTCGCCCAGCCGGAAGAATCCCGCAATGACCTCCAGGCTGGCCCTTTGTCTCCGCCCACTCCAGCTCCTCCCCCTCCTCTTCCCCCCTCCCTGGCAGCTCCCATTTCCGTCATCCCCATCCCAGTGGTCACCAGCCCCCCTCTGCCAGCCCCCCAGAGTACCTTGTCCCCCCCACTTATCCAGCGGCACTCACCCATGTTAAACATGGGTCTCAGCAAGGAGCCACCATTGATGGCCCCCGTGATCCAGAAGACTTCGGGGCCCCTTCTTCCAGACATCAAGGCCCCCACGCCCCCTTCGGCCAGCCCCAGCCAGCTGCCCCACTACGCCACCTCCGTCTTGGCCATTTCCCCACATCACATGGCCCAGCCGCCAATCAAGCCCCAGCCACCCGCCCACCAGCCACTCCTCCCGCATCACGTGCCTCCACCACTCAATGTCAAGGTGAACCCGTCAGAAGAGGCCAAGCCCAGCGAGCAGAAGAAGAGACCTGGCGGGTGAGTAGAAGGGCCTTTGTGCAGCTCAGTGTGTGTGTGTTTGTGTGTGTGTGTGTGTTAGTATCCTGTTTCCCCAAAAATAAGACATCCCCCGATATTAAGGCCAATCGGGCTTTTGAGCGCATGGCAATAACGCCAAGCACTTATTTCAGGGTCAAAAAAATGTAAGACAGGGTCTTATTTTCGGGGAAACATGGTACATGTAGTCCTCAAATTACGACTGCTCGTTTAATGACTGTTTGAAGTTACAACAGCCTCGGAAAAAGTGATTTATGACCTCTCCTTGCATTATGACGGCTGTACCACCCTCGTGGTTACACGACGACAATTTGTAGTCAAAACCGCCCAGCATTTATTACCAATTACAATATTATGATCCCGATTTATGTCTTTTTTTTTCTTTTTGGTAATTTCAGACAAAAAAAATGCCTGAATAAGCATTGAAATGAAGAAGCTGGATTTGCTTAATGACAGTGCGATATGCTTAGTGACTGATGATTCACTTAATGACCATGGTAAAAATCTTTGTAAACTTCAGTCCGATTTCACATACAATCACGCAATGACATTGACAGAAATTCCAGTCCCAACGGTGGTCGAAAGGCGAGGACTACCTGTATGGCAGAACTGAAAAGGATCTGGTCCCTTCCTGATAAAATGGCCTTCCCTTCAGTCCAGGGGTCGAATGGAAAGGAAGGATGAGAATAAGGGAGAAAAGAGAATATTATTATTATCGTAATCCTCACAGCCATCTTCATAATTAATATCACTCCTGAGTGGTTTGCCCTGCAGCAGCAGATCTGGGGGCTGCATTCCCACAGCATCCTTAACCTTATGGAGTTAATCCATCTCCTGAACTTGCATAACCAAGTGGTTCCATGGGCTATATTCACACATGTCCCAAGATCCCCTTCTGTGTTTTGAAGTGATTTGGTTAAGAGGGTTGTGTGCATTGAAAGTAGAAAGATTTTGGGGGATAGAATGAGCTATAGGTAGTCCTCATTTAGGCACCTAAGACACAACAGCACTAAACAAACTGACTAACAATTGATCCTTGCAACCTCCCCATGATCATGTGATCATGATTGGGTGTTCGGCTGTTATTAGTTGCGAAGTCGTGTCCAACCCATTGCAACACCCATGGACAACGTTCCTCCAGGACGTTCCTGTCCTCTACCACCCCCCAGAGTCCATTTAAACTCACGCCGACTGCTTCAGTGACTCCAATCAGCCACCTCGTTCTCTGTCGTCCCTTTCTTCTTTTGCCCTCAATCTTTCCCAGCAGTAGGCTCTTCTCCAGTGAGTCCTTCCTTCTCATTAGGTGGCCAAAGTATATGAGTTTCATCTTCAGGATCTGGCCTTCTAAGGAGCAGTCAGGGTTGATCTCCTCTAGGACTGACTGGTTTGACTGCCTTGCAGTCCAAGGGACTCGCGGGAGTCTTCTCCAGCACCAGAGTTCAAAGGCCTCGATTCTTTGGCGCTCAGCCTTCCTTATGGTCCAACTTTTACAGCCATACGTTGCAACTGGGAAAACCATAGCCTTGACTATACGCACTTTTGTTGGCAGGGTGATGCCTCGGCTTTTTAGTATGTTGGGTGTTCAGTTACTGGCATGGATTTATGACATTTGCACTGTCCCGGGGTCACATGATCACCATCCCAGCCAACTTCTGACAAGCAAAATCAATGGGAAGGTGGCAGGGAAGTGTCCCTTAATTACCATTGCAAAACAAGGTCATAAAATCAGTGCAGTCACGTGATGCCCCACTTAATGGCTGCACTACTTAAGGATGACTTTTTCCATTGGTGTCTGGTGCGAGCAACCAGATCCACACATGTAGGTGTTCAAACCAACTACAGTCATCCCTCGGCACTCGACGGCTTCAAAATTCATCAAGTTCAGTATTTGGTGGGATTTGAAGCAGAAATCTTATCTCAGCGCTCATCTTTCTCCCGGTGGCCGACACGCAAGGAAGAACATGCTGATGTCGGCTGCCTTGTGACTCGCTATTACTTCCAGCCAATATAGTGGGACACGTGATAAGTCACGTGCTTTTCTCAGTACCCTTTGGGTTTAGTATTCAGCGCATCTTCTGGAATGAATTACCAACAAAGACCGAAATACAACTGTATTACTTTCTGCCTATTATACAGGAATCTCCCTGTATTACTTTCTGCCTATTACACAGGAATCTCCCTGTATTACTTTCTGCCTATTACACAGGAATCTCCCCATATTGCCAATCTTTGACTGGGAGCACATAGATAGGACTCTGTGGAGCTTAAGGGGTGTCAGTTCTGGAGCACTTGCAGCTATGCAAGGATTTGAGGCTAATTCCACGCTTGAAGCCTTCCCTCCTACCTCACTGGGTGTTCCCCAGCAATTGTGGTTTAAGTTGAGGACTATCTGTAAGAAGCTGCTTGACTGCCAAGCTGCCAAGACTGAGTGGCTGTGGTTTCCGGCCTCCCAATATAGTCAGTTGGTGCCATCACTGACTATAGGGGGCGAGTCATTGGCCCCCACGGAGAGGGCTCGCAACTTGGGCGTCCTCCTGGATTCACGGCTGTCTTTAGAAGAGCACTTGATGGCTGTGGCCGGGAGGACTTTCTATCAGGTCTGCCTGATAGGCCAGTTGCGTCCCTTTCTGGATCAGGACTCCTTAGGCATAGTCACTCATGCCCTTGTCACTTCCCGCCTGGACTACTGTACTCTACATGGGGCTCCCCTTGAGGAGCACCCGGAGGCTCCAGCTGGTTCAGAGTGCGGCCGCGCGGGTGGTTATGGGAGCGACGTGGCGTTCCCATGTGACACCTCTCCTGCACGAGCTGGTGGTGGTCTCCCGGGTGCGCTTCAAGGTTTGGTTACCACCTTTAGAGCGCTCCATGGCTTAGGACCAGGGTACTTATGGGACCGCCTTCTGCCACCAATAGCCTCTCACCGGCCAGTACGCTCACATAGAGGGGGGCTCCTCAGAGTGCCGTCTGTCAAACAGTGTTGACTGGCGGCCCCCAGAGGGAGAGCCTTCTCTGTGGGGGCACCTGCTATCTGGAATGAGGTCCCCCCGGAGATACGGAGGATCCCGGATTTACGCACCTTCCGCCGTGCCCTCAAGACCTATTTATTTCAACAGGGTGGCCTGGCCTAACTTTCCCTTTTAATTGTAACTTTTAAAATTGGTTTGAAAACATTAGGGGCATTTTAAATTGTTTTGGGCCAAATTATTTAATGGGTTTTTATATTGTCTTTTAAATTTTGTAGTTTGTGTGTTTTATCTTTCTGGCTGTTCACCGCCCTGAGTCCTTTGGGAGTAGGGCGGTATATAAATCTAATAAAATGAAAATGGAAAAAAAATGAATCCCAGGTTAGAGTAGAATAAACTCCCCAGAACGAAGATTTTCCCATGCTTCACTCGTTAAGATCCTTTATCATAGAATAGCCTTGGATATCTTCTAGTTCAGAGGTCCCCAACCCATGATCCATGAACTGCAGGGGTGGTATTCACTTACCTTTGCTACCAGTTCGTAAATGTGAGTGCATGTGCCACCTCTGGGCATGCGCAGAGCCTTCCGCCCATGCGCAGAGCATCAAAAATGGGACGTGATGATATCCGGATGGGTGGGTGCTGCTATCTGTTCACCCGAACCGGATAGAACCTGCTGAATACCACCACTGGTGGACTGGCACCATGCCATGCCAGAAATCGGCCCAGCAAACAAGCAAAGCCCCATCCGTGGGATGGAGGCAGAACACACAAAACCACGCCCCTCTCTGGTCCGCGGGAAAACATCTCTCTACAGAACCGGTCCCTGGTGCCCAAAAAGTTGGGAGCCACTATTCTAGTTCAGCCTCCTGCCCAGTGCAAGAATCCTCCGTCCATTCTACACAAATGGCTGCCCAGTCTTTGACATCGAGAGAGCCATGGAACAAACCACTCATTTGTAGAGAATTGGTCCCAGTTTTCAGTGTTCCAAAGCTATCATATGTACCAATGCCAATGGCTGAAATTGTATAAGGACGATCATTTGAATTAGGTGGTTTTCATAACTGGCCATTGTGGGGAGCAGACGTCTGAACTAGAACAACCAGTCTTCTCCAACCTGGTGCTCTCTAAATAGGCTGAGACTGGAACTCCCAGAATCCCCCCTGCCTTTTGTCATAATTGGCAGGGGGATTCTGGGATCTGAAGTTCCAGCATGTGTGAAAGACACCAGTTGGGGGAAGAGCCAGTAATGTGCACATGAGCATGTGCCGTATTTTTCAGATTCTTAAGATGCACCGGAGTATAAGACACACCAAGCTTTCGAAGAGGTAAACAAGAAAAAAAAGTTTTTGCCCTCCCCGGCCCCCAGGAGCACTCTGCAGGCCTCCCAAACCCCTTACGTGTGGCGTTTTTGCAAAAAATGGGCCCGTTTTTTGCAAAAACCGGATGCGCAGAGGGTTTGAGAGGCCTGCAGAGTGCTCCTGGGGGCTGGGGAGGGCAAAAACGCCACACGTAAGGGGTTTGGGAAGCCAAAAAACGGGGCCTGCAGAGGGTTTGGGAGGCCTGCAGAGTGCTCCTGGGGGCTGGGGAGGGCAAAAACGTGATGCAGGCAAGGACACTCAGCTTCATTTTTGTGAGTGGCGGGCCCGCCACTTGTGCAAATAGAACTGTGTAAATGGACTTGTGCAAATGGAACACACACACGCTTGCTGCTTGCACAAATGGAGCTACACACGTGCGCCCACGCCTGCTGCTTCCGCGGTCTGGTTCCGAACAGGCCGCAGCCTGGTAGGGGTCGCGCGGCCTGGGAACCCTGAGCTAAAGTAACAGTTCATGCCAAATCCAATCTGATTCCCTCCAGAATTCCTGAGAAGTTCCATTTTTGCCTGATTTGTTTCCCTGTGGTTCTTAAAATAATCTCGCATTGTGTGATCACGATGACATATTTCTAGTGTCCTGGATTTTCCTTGTCAGAAACAGAGGCTGCGAGGGCTGTGCGTTTCCCTCAGCAGGTTGCCTACAAACAACAGATGCATTTGTTACCAGGGCAACAAGGATGTGGCAATCGGTGCGCCATGCACATCTTGCGTGTCTGTGATGTGGGACTGGGTGTGTTTGGCTCGATGAGCAGTTACGAGTCTGCAATCCTTCCAAATTGCTTCCAGAAAAATGAAGGGAGAAGATGCAGGTAGCCTTTGACTTGAAACCATTCGTTTAGTGACCACTTGAAGTTTACAACGGCACCGAAACCTGTGACATCATAGTTTTTCACACTTACCACCGTTGCAGCATCTCCCTGGTCACATGATCAAAATTCGAGTTCTTGGTGTGTATTTATGATGGTTGCACTGTCCCGGGGTGACCTACCCAGCCACCTTTTGACAAGCCAAGGCAATGAGGGAAGCCAGATTTGCTTAACAATTGCGGTACAGGCAGTCCTCGACTTATGACCCCAATTGAACCCAACATTTCTGTCGCTAAGTGAGACATTTGTGAAGTGAGTTTTGCCCCGTTTTACGACCTTTCTTGCCACAGTTGTTAAGTGAATCACTACAGTTGTTAAGTCAGTTACAAGGTTGTTACGTGACCCTGGCTTCCCCATTGCTACCTATTGAAGCTAACAAAAGGAGACCCTCCCCGAGAGACTGCAATGGTCATAAGTATGAGTCAGTTCACCAAGCATGTGAATTTTGATCATGTTACCATGGGGAGGCTGCAACGGTCATAAGTGTGAAAAATGGTCCTAAGTCACTTTTTTTAGTGCTGTTGTAACTTCAAATGGTCACTAAATGAGCTATTGTAAACCGAGGACTACCTGTATTCACTTAACAACTGTGGCAAAAGAATCATAAAATGGGGTGCAACTCACTTAACAACTGCTTTGCTTAGCAGTGGAAATGTTGAGCCCAATTGTGGTTATAAGTTGAGGACTACCTACCTGTAAGTGTGCAAGACACACGCACATCTCTTCTCTCCTTATGAAATAAAATACTTCCTTTCCACTGATTTTAACAACACTTTGCAATGTTTTTTTCTGATATTTTCCCCCCTTCCTTTCCTGTATTTTAGGGTTGGCACCCGAGAAGTCCATAATAAATTGGAGAAGAACAGGTATGTACCTTTTTTAAATTCCAAAACAATCACCTTTCCACATAACACTGGAGAAAGTTTGAGTTTTCCAAGAAGTTGTTTTCCAGTTGTTTTTTCTGAGCATTCAAAGGTTCTTGAGAATATGGGTTGTAGTTTGCGAATGTGCCTAAAAAAAGAAACTGTTCCGTTAAGGCACAATGCCAAACCATGATTTGCACTAATCTTTGGTTTGCATTTCTCAAAGTCAGTACACAAACCAAGTGTGAAGCTGCTTGTCTGCTTTTTTTTACCTCATCTCTCTCTCTCCAATTTTGTGCAAGCAGTAGCTGTAAGTTAGGGGTCTCCAAACTTGGCAACTTTAAGACTTGTGGACCTCAACTCCCAGAATTCCTCTGCCAGCCATGGCAGAGGAACACACACACAGAGGAATTCTGGGAGTTGAAGTCCACAAGTCTTAAAGTTGCCAAGTTTGGAGACCCTTGCTGTAGGTGGTTTTGCCTAATTGGATGCCGTATCAAGTCATGCTATGTGCAAACCAGAAGTTAGATGCCCTCTTCAAATGATTTTTGGGCCTCATTTCCAATTGAGGGGTCCTTGGTGCTCTCTGAACTTGCTTGCTTTCTCGCAGACATTTCATTACCCTAATTAGGTAACATCATCAGTGCTAGTACTGGTAGTAACAACCCTGAGCTAATTTCAACCCTGAGCTACAAATATTCTCCTTTATGTTTCCAATTTCCAAGCTGATGGTTGTACTGATGAGTTTACATAGCTTGGTAATGAAATGCCTGCAGAAAACCAATAAAATTAAAGAGAAAACTAAGAATCTTACAGTTTAACCCTTAGTGAATATATTCCATGAGAATTCCTGTATTGGATTACAGCAGTGCTGACCATTTTTTTTCTTCTGTTTGTTTCACTCTTTTTCATTTTAATACCTTCTCATTCCGTGCCTTAGATTTGTTGAGTTGATCAGTTGCAATGCTCCACCTCAACGTGTCTTCCCCCAAACCTACATTTTGCCCCTGCCTGTCATGGCCACTTATTGAATTATTTTTTTTGCTATGATTTGCCCCTTTCCGAGATCCATCCCTGCATGTCCAAAACATCTGCTAACATTTTAAGAATCTCAGCTGAGTAATTTCTAAGATGAGGTCAGCTGCCCTGAGCAAATGACTACAGGTTGGGTAGGCCGCAAAATATTTTGCATCCGCCCATTTTGAATTGCTTCAAAACGAGATGGGTGGCAAATAAATTTAATAAATAAGTAAATCCTTTTGTATATTAGGCAATGGAGGAGATGCGACTTATCGGGAGCTTCTGTTGACTTTGTACTCTTGCAAGGCAGTGCAAAAGGTCAAGTTTACAGGTGTGTGTGTGTGTTACGTCTTTGGGCGTGGGGACTTTTATCTGTTCTGCTACCACACCTCCACTGGCTTCATTCAGATGTATAAATTAGCTTCAATAATCCTGAGCATTGCAACAATTTAAATCATTAGGTCTGGATTTAGTCACCGTAAGAAGCATCTGGTGCCTCCTGCAAACAACATTTTCTTAAAAAAACCAAATTGCATGAGATAATCAACATCATTGAGACTACCCTGTTTCCCCGAAAATAAGACCCAACCAGAAAATAAGTCCTAGCATGATTTTTTCAGGATGCTCGTAATATATAAGCCCTGCCCCCCAAAATAAGCCCCAGTTAAGATTGTCAGCCAGATGGATGCATTCAGTAACGTATTTCCCCCAAAAGAAGACCTAACCAGAAAATAAGCCCTCATGCATCTTTTGGCGCAAAAATTAATATAAGATCCGGTCTTATTTTCAGGGAAACACAGTATTCAGTTTTGCGCAAGAATTTCAGGCAAGTTAACTATAGTCACCTGAAATATTATAACATTTGAAGCAATTTAAAAATATTTCTTTAAAATTAATTTGAGACGTTCACCGAGATCACTGATGTTTCTCAACCTTGGCTGCTTGAAGATGCATGGACTTCAACTCCCAGAATTCTCTAGCCAGCATGAATTCCCAGCTAAGGGAATTCTGGGAGTTGAAGTCCACACACTTCTTGAAACGGCCAAGGTTGAGAAACACTATATTAAGGGAACTGAGGGCCTGTGTTGTTGACCCTACTTTTAAACCTCATGCCCCCCAATGGTTTCCTCATTTCATGCCAATCGGCGCATCATTTTGATCAAAGTCAAGATCAAGTTCATTCTGCAGGCTGACTAAATTTGGGGTTTTGTTTCTATATAGACGTGCCCACTTGAAAGAATGTTTTGAGACCCTCAAAAGAAACATCCCCAATGTCGACGACAAGAAAACCTCAAACCTCAGCGTCCTAAGGAGTGCCTTGAGATATATCCAGGTAGGGCCTACAACATGGATTGTTTTGGTGGGGTTTTTTTGACTCTGTTCTGAGGTGTGAAGAAAACTATTGTGAGCACCAGTTGTTGGTCTCGTCCAGACTAATGTCTTGGACTTCTGTTCCCAAAATCCCCTTGACCTAGAATAATGGAAGCTGAAGTTGTGTGGATTGGGGAAAACCAGCTAAATTCTGACTGTTCCTTCTTTTTGAAAAATTGAAATGGCTTGTGTAGGTAGCAAAGGATAATTGAAATTAACATTATGTTATCTGCTAGGAGGGATTTTCCCACTGTCTATTTCCTGGTAGGTGGAAAGTTCAGGAGAAGCAGACAAAAGATTTCTTGTTGTGTTACATATAACTAATTAAATCATAGTGTGTTGACAGGCGCTGTAAATTTCTGAGAACATTTTGAACAGGGAAAAAAAAAAAGGCCCTATGTATAATAGGTTAATGTATATGAGAAGAAGAATGTGATAAGGGACATTCTCAAAAATTAGGTACAGGTAGTCCTTGACTTATGACCACAATTGAGCCCAAAATTTCTGTTGCTAAGCAAGGAAGTTGTTAATGAAGTTTTGCCCCCATTTTACGACCTTTCTTGCCACCGTTGTTAAGTGAATCACTGCTGTTGTTAAATTAGTGGCACAGTTGTTAAGCGAATCTGACTTTCCCATTGACTTTACTTGTCAGAAGGTCGTAAAAGGGGACCACATGACCCCGGGATACTGCAACCGTCATAAATACATGCCAGTTGCCCAGCATCCAAAGTTTGATCACATGACCATGGCAATGCTGCAACAGTCATAAGTGTGAAAAACGGCCATAAGTCAGTTTTTTTCAGTGCCACTGTAACTTCGAATGGTTATTAAACGAATGGTTGTAAGTCGAGGCTGGCCTGTAATGATAGTAATCTTCCAGTACAAGAAGAGATGTCATAGAGCAGAGGGGGTGTGGTTTCATTTTCCTGATTTGGAAAAGACGAGTGGGAAAAAATCAGTGGGTGGAAGATTAAAAGAGGAAGATCCAAACTCAAATGAAGGAGGAACTTCCTGATTGTGAGAGCTACAGGTAGTCCTCACCTTATGATCATTCGTTTAGTGACCAAAGGTACGACAGCAACTTACAAACCGGTTTTTGCACTTAAAATCATTGCGGTGTTCCCACGGGTCACATAAATGCAATTCAGGTATGTGACAACCGTATTTATGATGGTTGCAGCATCCTGTGGTCGCATGGTGGCCGTTTGTGAACTTCCCAGCCAGCGTCCAACAAGCAAAGTCAATGGGGAAGCTGGCAGGGAAGAAGATCACAAATGGTGATTGTGTGGCGACAAAAAAAAAAAAAGTTGCAAAATCAGGGGGAGTCATGTGACATCTAACTTAACAACTGTACTGTTTAACAATGAATTTTCCAGTCCTGATTGTGGTCGTATGTTGAGGACCATCTGGGTTAAGCAACGGAACCCCCTGCCTCCAGAAGTCATGGGTGCTCCATTACTGGAGGTTTTCAAGAAAAGATTAGACAACGCTTTGACTGAGATGATCTAAGGATTCCTGCCTTAGGCACAGCGGTGAAATCCCCCCCAGTTCTATCCGGCTCGCCGAACTGGTAGCGCCGGCGGCAGGAGGCTCCGCCCACCCGCCCGGGACGTCATTACGTCCTGTTTTTTAACCATCTGTGCATGTGCAGAAGAGGTGCGCGCACATAGTGTGTGTGTGTGTGCTCCCACACTGGAGCGCACCTGAACCAGTAGTGAAGGTAAGTGGATTTCACCACTGCTTAGGCAGGGTATTGGACTCGAAGACCTCCAAAGATCCTTCCAACCCTATAATTCTGTGATACAGGTGGAAGCCACCTAGGGGCATATCTGTGGATTAAAGCAAGGGGTTATAGACTGCCAGCTGTGGTTTTTGACAATGGATCAGGAGCCGTTGTTTGGAGTGGTGCGGTGGCCTAGAGGTGGAGTTCTGGCCTCACAATCAGTGTGAATTCGATCCTAGGTAGCGGCAGATATTTCTCTCTCTGGACACGCTGAGAATATATCTGCTGAACAAAACTCCCCATTGGTAATAGGAAAGGCATCCGGCCATTAAAAAAACACTCTGCTAGCTCCATTCAGTTGCCCGGATTCCTCCCTGCAAGATATTATGGGGTTGTTAAAAGAAGATGATGATGGTGATCAGGAGCTGTGGTTTGTCCCATTTATATAAATGGTTTTAATTTTCTTGAGCTGGAATCTGGTGTGGGGTCTGAAGGCAGTCGTGAATCTAGTGCAGCTGTGCTCTGTTTCATGCCATCAGGTCATAGCTGTCTTCTGTGTGTTGACATTAGTTGGCTGAACTGAACAACTCTTGCGTAATTGGATGTGTTGCTGTACCACCCCATTAGAAGGAACAGCCTTTGTTTGAAAACTGATGACAAAGTTTTTAAACTTGTTTTTTTTTTTAAACTGCTTGTGGTAGCTGAAGAGATCCTTCCTCTGGTCTCAGTGGTGTGTAGGGAAAGAGGATTTAGAAAGCAAACGTGGCATTTGTGGTAGAAGGAGGGAAAAAAATATTATTGGTGTGTATATATATTTTCAGTAGAAAGCCCAGCTTGTGCCAAATGACCTTATGTATTGATTCGCTGACAACTTGCATATGATTCTCATGGCTCACATATGCCAGAAGCTGGTGTGAAGCTATTCCTTGGAAAAGCATGCAAATATTTTTCTCATAGTGGCAGCGGCCAAAGTTTTACTCATGTTGGTTACTGAAAGTATGATTTTCACTGAAGAGGAAATCGAAAACTTATGAAGCAATGGTACCTCTTTACTTTTTTTTTTTTTTTGATTTATATGCCGCCCTTCTCCGGAGACTCAGGGCGGCTTACAATGCGTTAAGCAATAGCCTTCATCCTTTTGTATATTTATACAAAGTCAGCTTATTGCCCCCACAAACTGGGTCCTCATTTCACCTACCTTAGAAAGGATGGAAGGCTGAGTCAACCTTGAGCCTTGGAGAGCTTTAACTTTAACGTCAGTCTCTGCAAAGAACAATCCAAAAAGGATGGGAATAGAGAGAGACCAGAGACTAGCAAAGGAATAGGGCAAGGCGGCTTTATGTGCAATCTCGGCTAACCTGCAGAACTCGCTGCCACATGATGGTTGTGTTTGCATAATGTAACTGACTTAGGATGCTATTGTTCCAGGTTAAGTTAAGCCTTCACCTCTGTGAGCTGGCAGTGGATAAGCAGGAAGCTTAACTGTTGCAAAACCTGTGTATGTGTTTTGTGTGTTAAGTAATGTATTTGACTTTTATCACACTGTGTACTGTATCCTCAAATGTCCAGCAGACATAACTCATGTTTGTAGGTCAATAAAAATCAAAATGCTAATTGAGTACAGGTGGTATTCAACACCACCAAAATTGAGCCCAAAATTTCTCTTGCTAAGTGAGACATTTGTTCAGTGGGTTTTGCCCCGTTTTATGACCTGTCTTGCCACATTTATCAAGTGAATCGCTGCAGTTGTTACATTAGTAACAGGGTTGTGAAGTGAATCTGGCTTCCCCATTGGCTTTGCTTGCCAGAAGGTCACAAAAGGGGATTGCATGACCCCATCATAAGTATGAGTCAGTTGCTAAGCGTTTGAATTTTGGTCACGTGATCATGGGGTTGCTGCAACCATCTTAAGTGTGAAAAATGGCCGTAAGTCACTTTTTTCCGGTGCCTTTGTAACTCCAAACAGTCACTAAATCAGTGGTGGGTTCCTCCCGGTTCGGTCCGGTTCGGCCGAGCCGGTAGCGGTGACGATATGATGTCACCGAACCGGTTCTTCCCCCCCCCCGCCCGCCCTCCCACCCACCCACATTATTCTTACCTTTTATTTGGTCCCACCTCCAATCTATTGCTGCCTCCTGAGTCCCAGCTGATGACTAGGGGGAAAAAAACTGTTTAAACTCTTGCCGTGGGGCTTCAAAGGACCGTCCTACAGCTGATCAGTGTTAAAAGCAAACAAATGAGTCAGGTCGTAAGTGCGAGGACTGGTCATAAGTGCGAGGACCTTCCAGAAATGACTCTGATCAGCTGGCCACACCCACCTAGTCACATGGCCTCCAAGCCACACCCACAAAATAAGCCACGCCCACAGAACCGGTAGTAAAAAAAAATTAGAACACACCCCTGCACTAAATGAACTGTTGTAAGTTGAAGACTACCTGTATGCAGTTCCTGTAGCTTAGTCTGGATGGGAGAGGCTGCAAATGCAATTAAATGAGAGCTGTCCCCTTTTTCTGTGCCCTTTTACCAAAGTTTGGGAATAAGATAGGGATTTTTTTTTTTAGAAAAGGAGAGGCAGTTGCTGGACAAACTCTGCTTTTATGGCCCACTTTTGACATTCATCACTGTGCCAGCTTCTGAATGAAAATCAGGAGTGTGTGCAAGATGATAGTCAAAAAAGGCAACATGGCAACTCTGGCTCTTCTTTTTGCACCCATGGGTGTTTACATCGATGCTCAAAGACACCTCCTTGCTTTGCGTTTGGTATATGGGAAATTCTTCAATCTTACATAGAATAACAGAGTTGGAAGGGACCTTAGAGGTCTTCTAATCTAACCTCCTGCTCAGGCAGGAAGCCCTATATCATTTCAGACAAATGGTTATCCAATCTCTTTTTAAAAACTTCCAGTGTTGGAGCATTCACAACTTCTGGAGGCAAGTTGTTTCACTGATTAATTGTTCTAAGTGTCAGGAAATTTCTCCTTAGTTCTAAGTTGGTTCTCTCCTTGATTAGTTTCCACCCATTGCTTCTTGTCCTGCCCTCAGGTGCTTTGGAGAATAGCTTGACTCCCTCTTCTTTGTGGCAGCCCCTGAGATATTGGAAGACTGCTATCATGTCTCCCCTAGTCCTTCTCTTCATTTAACCCAATTCCAGCAACCGTTCTTCATATGTTTTAGCCTCCAGTCCCCTAATCATCTTTGTTGCCCTTCTCTGCACTCTTTCTAGAGTCTCCACATCTTTT